ACATTTTCTTGAGGGGGAATTACCTATCATGTTAAAGGTTCTTTCCATTTTACAAATCTTTTTATTTTGTATATTTTAAAAATAATTTCTATGCCCAGTGTCGGTCTTGAACTCACGACCCCGAGATTAAGGGTCACGTGGTCTATTGATTGAACCAGCCGGGAGTCCCAAGCTTATTTCATTTTTAGCCTTCTTCATACTTATTGTCAAACTTTCATACTCAAAAGTTACACGTTTTCACAACCATCATCAGGGATAGAAGTTAAGGAAGGAATGGGCAGTGTTGGTCTTAGCACTACTTTTACACATTTCATTTACAAATTAACCTCCCAAAGAGTCTTCCCTCTTGACCCCTGTGCAGTCTCCTTGAGCATTCCCAGTGACCCACACCCTAGGACCATTAGTGCTTTTGTCATCACATGAACAGCAATTGGTTCAAAACACCGCTCATTGTGATGATGATGAGGCCTCGTGATGTGACCTCCTTAGTGTTCTAAAAGATTGTTTGGTATAACTGCTTCAGTTCAGGATTTTTCTCTGACCTTTCCTATCATGTTTAGAGTCGGAATTCAAATGCTGTACAGTTTAAGCTACAGTATGCCTGGCCTATAACTTGGTTCAAGGCATTTATATTTATGTCATTTTGTCTGCTTCTTATACTAAGAAGGTGGAAAAAGCTCTCCCAGTCCTCCCCACAAGGTAAAATTCTGGGGTTTTTTTGGTCTATTGCTAGAGTTTTAAAAATAAGTTAGATAAATTATAGTACATTTAGGAATTAAGTGCACATGGAGACTTTTAGGAGATATTTTATGAAGAACACATTTAAATCCAAACTTAATATAAAATTTAATTTCTTAACCGGGGTGGGAGCTAGCACAAAAATAGAGTATTAATTTTTTTCTAAGGCAGCATTTTATTATACAAGAAAGAGGTATATTAGTCCTATTTAAATTACATATTTTTTCAACCAAAAGGGATGAAATCTTTTCTTATGTTTATTAACCTTTGTGTCAAAATGGTTTGAATTTTGGCTAATCTCAGTGGAAGCCTCTTTATTGTGTTCTGTTCTCAATGACTTTTTTTTTTTTAATTTGAAGTGTGACTGAAAGCAGTTGCCATTAATGAGAAAGTTAAACAATTTAAAATGTGAAATGTTTTAGAGGACAATAATTATGTCCTTCATATTTCTGTTGATACAAATTCTAACACTAGGTAGGCAATCAGTTAATACCAAGAAAGTCACTTTAAATGGAATAATGTTGCTACCCTAGAGAAGAGTGTACTCCCTTATAAAAAATTATTTTTACTCATTCTTGTGCTTTTTCTGTAGTCCGATATCACTCGGTAATTTGATTCTGACTTTACAGAAATGGAATATTCCATGAAAATTTTCCAAAGTGAATAAAATGTTGTCTAAACTGTCTTAATTTCAAGCTGTCCCTGACAGTTTGGCCGAACAACTGAATACGGATACTTCTTTTGCCGTGTCTTCCTGTGAACATTGCCCGAGTGATAGCTTCATATTTCTCTCATCTCATCATTCAGAAGCTATTTATCCATTTTTTTTTTTCCCATGGCCTCTAAGCCTCCTCCCTGCCCCCACCCCCCATCACTGAATGCCTGTTCAGCCCCCACACATTCAGGCGTATTTATTCCCGTAAAGATAGTGACACTTATGGTTTATTCTAAGACTAAATCTGTGTTGCCCAGTGACTAAGGGCTTAAGCATGCACACTGCTTCTACGCTTACCCTCCTACCTAACTTGACTACTCAACTTTATTTCTTTCCCTCAGAATTCTCTGTTTTGGCACAGTTCAGTTAACATACCACTGCCAGGCCACTAATTGATTTCTGAAACCTGACATTTGTTTTTTGTTTTCTCCTATCTTCCCTAATGGTACAGCACTACTAAGCAGGAAGGAATGCAAAGAACTAGAAAGTTCAAAGTAATTGAGGATCTGTCCATTCACACTGTCTGGCATCATGCCAACATAGAACCTGGAACATTTGAAAAATATTTATCAGGTTTTAACCCTTTTTGTTAAGTCGGTGAATCAGGTTTGCAGCTGTAGCATGTGTGTTAACAGCAAGTAAGCTTGGTTGAACATGTTCTTTCTATGTTCAGAATCGCATGGCAAAATGTCTCAGAAAAGGATTACTTTCCAATTTCCGTACTATTGTACAGTGCTAAGCTAGTTATTTTCTGTGAGATTGCAGAGCCTGGGATTTCAGAGAAACCATTACTTAAAAGTGGCAGTCCTGTTTTATGAATCCTTATGTCAGAAATGAAATTTAAATAAATGCTACTATATTTGAACAAAAAAATTCAACAACGATTGAATTCAGCTTTTCTAACATATATGTATCGAGAGCCCAGCCATAGCTAAGTTCATATCTTTATTCATTAGAAAAAAATGGAAATGTGAAAAAAAGAACTGAACTGGACAAGTATTTTATTAAAAACTTATCAAATAGTTGGGTTTTATGTTGTTTAGCTACTGGGAAAGCATTTGTAAATGAAAGCATGTTAAAAAATGGTGTGAAATATAGAAACATTTCCAGTAAAATAACTGAATTTTATTTTAGTGAAAACAGGTTGAAATAATAGGCCACTGATGCTCTGATAAAGACAAAAGAAAAGGTCTAGAGGAGTGTAGAGGCAAATTAAAATATAAATAGATACTAAATTGTATTAAACCTAAGTTAAAAAGAATATAGAACTTCCGTTAAGACTTATCTATATCACACTCAGGTTTGATCATGTTATCAGCATTATAACTGAAAATCTGTCGAAGTTCAATTTTTAAATTAAATCCCAAACCAATTCTATAATCTGTTTTTAAGTTATTTAATTACAGGCTTGGGTTCAATCTTAGAGAAAATCAGGACAGCTTTTTAAAGGTGAATGTAGATACCATGGGACTGTTTGCTTAGGAAAAAATTAGCAAAAAGACTTATTAAATACTACTTTGGTAACATGAAAGTAGTCGTCAACCACTCTCTGAAAGAAGTGATCACGGCTATAAAGATGAATCATTTATTAACAAAAAGGAAATGAAAAGGAGAAAAAAATTTACAGCATAATTTTGTTCTCTAGTAATAAATACCTCTAATATTTCATGTGTATATTATTTTTTTAATCTACACACTGAAATGAGAGCCATATTTTTAAAGATCCACCTCTTTGAAGTGAACATTTTTCTAAGAGCTCATTTTTTAAAGCTGTTTTACTGTGAAGTGATGAGTAGGCTGTTGCATATGTAAAATTGTCTAATAGTATAGTGTGCTGTCAACATATATACATATGTAGTAATATACCAGGCATTTTTATTGAAGTTTATTGTTCCGGCTTCTCAATAAGCCAGATAAAATCATATACAAGAACATTAAGGATTAGAGAAGTGTTTTCCTTAGGTGATTGCTGGCAAAACTTCACCTTCCCATTATAATGTAGTTAATGGATGATAATATATTTGACTATTACTTTCCTACAAATTTGGATTCCCAGTTTTCAGAGCTGCTGCGCGTCTAATGTTTGGCTTCTGCGATTGTCTTTTCGTAGGAAAAGGTGCCATAGTGTTAGGTAAATGTGTTACGTTTCTGTTTTGTAAATATTAAACTCCATTTTTTTGAACATACAGTGCTAGCAAAAACAAGTCGAAGATGTAATCTCTATGTAAATACATTTGAACTAGTCAGTCGTTCGTGCTTAAATTAGCTTCCATGCTTCGGCTACAATCACAAGTGTAAATATTAAAAACTTCAAAATTCATATGGCCCATCCCCCTCCCCTCCTCTCCATACACGTATGAGTTAGAAATGTGTGTGGAAACTTCTTCTAAGCACTTAAATACTGTAGGGGAAAACAAGCTTGATTATCAAGGACTTCAAAAAAAAAATCTTACCATTAAACCTTTTATTCACGACATTCCGGATTTGCTTTGCTAAATGGACATCTTCACTGCTGAAGATACACAGACAAGAGAGCTGTTTTTAAATTTGTTTATCACACCGCCCCTCGTTTTCCGCTAAAGAAAAGTACATTTTGTATATTTTAAAATACACACTCGTGAAACAAGTCTCTAAAAACCTTGGCGCCCCCACCTAGCTGCCTTCTGGATTTTAGCTTTTGAGTTTCAGGTCCTTGCACAACACCTAAGACGTGCAAAACTCTTTTTCTCCCTAATCCTGGCAGAGAACAGTCCGAAGAGATCTCCCTCCACGTCTCCACCCTAATTCCCTCTCTTCCTAGATTCCACCCGCTTCTCTCCTTTCCTCCGCCCCCGGCTCCGTCAGCCCAATCTGTCAGAGAAGTTGTGTACAAACTGCGCGGCCGCCCTGCGCGCGAAAGCTCGTGGCCGGAGAGGGCGGGTTAGCCCGGCGAAGGCGGGGCCTGGGCGAACTTCTCCCTTCTCATAGGCTGCCCACTCAGGCCCGGCCGGCCTCAGGGCTTCGGGATTCGCCGCAGCGCTGCCAGTCGGGTTGGTGAGCCACGCCCACTCGGAGTTGGGTAAAATAGAGGCGGGCGTCAAGTGTCAGTAGTCGCGGGGCAGGTACGCGCGCTCACAGCTCGCTCACGGAGACAGACGGTGGCGGGAGCGGGCTCCGGCGAGTGAGAGAGCGCGGTGGGGCGGGGCGGGAGAAAGTGGCCGCCCGGAGGACGTTGGCGTTTACGCGTGTCGGAGCGGAAGAGTTTTGCTTTTCGTGCGCGCCTTCGAAAACCGCGCCTGCTGTTGGCTGAGGGGGTCCACCCGGAGCTTCCCCTTCTCCGCCCGCGGCCCCGCGCCGAGCTCGCCGGCCCGAAGCAGCGTGGGCGAGGTGGAAGCGCGTCCGACCCGCGTCCCGCGCCCGGAGCCGCCCCCTGAGTGCCAATGGCCACGCGGGTGCTGACTATGAGCGCCCGCCTGGGACCCGTGCCCCAGCCGCCGGCCCCGCAGGACGAGCCCGTGTTCGCGCAGCTCAAGCCCGTGCTGGGCGCCGCGAACCCGGCCCGCGACGCGGCGCTCTTCCCCGGCGAGGAGCTGAAGCACCCGCACCACCACCCGCAGGCTCAGCCCGCGCCCCCGCAGCCGCCGCAGCCGGCGCCGCCGCCCGCCGCTGGCCCGCGGCTGCCCCCTGAGGAGCTGGTCCAGGTAGGAAGAGCCGCTCCCCTCCCTCCACCCCCCTCCCAGAGCTCGGGCGTGTCCCGCCGCTGCGACGCGCGGGCGACAGGGGCCGCTCCAGGCTGGGGCGTGCGTCGGGGCGCTCCGGGAGCCGGAGCTGGGTGGGCAGCCCCTCCCCGCCCTGCCCTTCTGGCTTGGGCACCCGCAGTCCGCAGGGAGAAAGTAGGGGGACCGGAAGAGCGGGGGTCCCGGGTGAATCTCGTCAGACGCGTCCGGGAGAGGTTAGAGGCAAGTGGGTGCTAACAACGCACCTTATCGTGTTTTCTTAGTTTGGGGGGATGGGACTTGATACCTCACGTCCAACCTGACTTAAATTCCGTCTTTCACCTTATTCTCCAGCCCCCGCAGTGCTCTGCCCTTGGAGGTTCCCCCACGTCGTCTCGGGGGGAAACGCAAATCGGGGTGCTGGCGAGAGGCGCCTCGGGGTGCTGGTTTCGTATCTCTCGTTTCAGCTTGCTTTAGACGCGATCTGGGGCTGCCTTCGGGAAACGAGAGTTAGGAAAGCTAAGGTGGTATTGGAGCGTTTGTTTTTCCTTAAAAAGAAAGACCGAAAAAGACCGGGGGTGTTGTTTTCTTCGTGTGCGCGTAAATTTCCTCCCGGAGCCGCGTTGAAAGCTGGCAGTTGGCTTTTACACTTGCCCGGCAGCCGAATTAGAGCAACCGCCTGTTTCTTTCGCCCACGCAGGGAGTCATATAGCCCAGAAAAAACTTCCCGGGACTTTTAGCCTGTCCCAAGGAAAAAAAAAAAAAAAAAATTGGAAACATACCCACATGCAAACAGCTGGAAGAGCTAAAATCAGAAACCACTAACCACCACGGGAGCGAAGTGCACGAAAGGGTTTAGTTCGGTTTATTTCGAGACGCTTCATTTAATAACCCTTGGTCTATGGCGTATTTGCTCCTGAGCTCCTAGTCCGGGTGGTCCGCGAGTTTCGTCGTGCTGTAAAAGGGCAGTGGCATTTGTCAGAGATGTGACTCACATGACTAGAGCGTTAATCTTTATTTTTGAAATCGTGTTTACCGGGGAAACCGTGTCTGCATCCACCCCGAATGATAGAGGAGGTCCGATATGAAACGCTTTTGAAATTTAGTAGCAAAAAAATGACTACTAGTCACCAGTTTCGATGCCACGGTTAATAGTTTCATGAGCCATTTAGTTGGAGTGGGTTTTTCTTTTAAAATTTACTCGACAAAGATTAAAATAGAAGTTCATGTTGCACTAGAATAGAAGATAGCTGTAAAAAGACTGAGGGAGACTATTAGTTACAAGTTGGATTGTGTCCTAAAAAAAAAAAAAATCGTCACTTGGAAAAGATTTGGTTATTTCAGGTTTGTCACTTTTCTTTCGGTTTGAGATACAAGGATAAGGGATGATTGAGCTTTTTACAGAGTAAGGGGGAATGTAGCATTGGCCACTGAGGAGGACATGATAAATGTTTAGCTGATGACTCTGCTAAGGATACAGCAGCCTCTCCCCACCCACGGACTCCTTAGCACCACTCTACCAAGGGAGTGATTTTCCCCTAGGTAATTAAAGATCTGTTTTAGATAGGGATATGAATAGGAACATTTCATTATCATATTAACCAATTACAGAATCTGCTGATTAAAATCAACATTTAGATCAAATGTTGAAAGTGAAGTTGCTTAGTTCTTTCAGTGGATATTGTGTTTTGCCCAAGACGGTTGCATTTAACTGTCCAGTGACCTATAAATGAGAAAAGGCACTGAAACAGCCAAGGAGTATGTTTCAACAATATCTGTCCAGGCAAAAACAAAACAAAACAACTCTGATGATATTTTCAAGGTTGGTTTGCTTAGGTTTTTGTTTGTTTAAACACACTTATATTAACATAAATGTGGCATGAACAGAATTGAGGTGGTTTGGCAGTATTACAATACTGTGTTTAAGTTGCAAACTCAACTGTGATGGGGCCAGGGAATCCTGCTTGTACGTGAGTTCTTAAACTTTATTTAGATTTATTTTTATTATTATTAGAAAGGAATTTTTATTATTTAAAAGGAATATGTATTATTGATTGGAAAAGAATGTTTCTGTGTGCTGCTGCTTTTTCTTGATTTGTCTCTCTTCACTTTTTGTCGGGGGCTGATAGTGGGAGCCGTTTACCAAATATACCTTATAGAGAGTTTCATAAGGCTTTCGGTAAACCAGGTTATTACACAGTTGACAAATGATCGGTTTATCAGCGACACTTAGGAGTTTGCCCTAGTATTTTTCGCAGGTATTGTTGGGAATTTTCAGGAAGTTTGTCCTTAACCCAGATGATGAGTTGGGTGGATTATGCATGTTTGTTTATCTCTTCTTTTGTAGACAAGATGTGAAATGGAGAAGTATCTGACACCTCAGCTTCCTCCAGTTTCTATAATTCCAGAGCATAAAAAGTATAGACGAGACAGTGCCTCAGTCGTAGACCAGTTCTTCACTGACAGTGAAGGGTTACCTTACAGTATCAACATGAACGTCTTCCTCCCTGACATCACTCACCTGAGAACTGGCCTCTACAAATCGCAGAGACCGTGCGTAACCCACATCAAGACAGAACCTGTTACCATTTTCAGCCACCAGAGTGAAACGACTGCCCCTCCTCCGGCCCCGACCCAGGCCCTCCCTGAGTTCACCAGTATATTCAGCTCCCACCAGACCGCAGCTCCAGAGGTGAACAATATTTTCATCAAACAAGAACTTCCTGCACCAGATCTTCATCTTTCTGTCCCTCCCCAGCAGGGCCACCTCTACCAGCTACTGAATACACCGGATCTAGATATGCCCAGTTCTACAAACCAGACAGCAGTAATGGACACTCTTAATGTTTCTATGTCAGCCGCCATGACAGGCCTTAACACACACACCTCTGCTGTTCCGCAGACTGCAATGAAACAGTTCCAGGGCATGCCCCCTTGCACATACACCATGCCCAGTCAGTTTCTGCCACAGCAGGCCACTTACTTTCCCCCGTCACCACCAAGCTCAGAGCCGGGAAGTCCAGATAGACAAGCAGAGATGCTCCAGAATCTGACCCCACCTCCATCCTATGCTGCTACAATTGCTTCTAAACTGGCAATTCACAATCCAAATTTACCTGCCACCCTGCCAGTTAACTCGCAAAGCATCCAGCCTGTCAGATACAATAGGAGGAGTAACCCGGACTTGGAGAAACGTCGCATCCACTACTGCGATTACCCTGGTACGTGATTTAACATGGTTGAAGCAGCGATACCTGTGTTGAGAGAGAGTAGTGTGTGTGTGTGTGTGTGTGTGCGCGCGCGTGCCTGTGCGCGCGCGCGAGCGTGCATGCCTTTTTTAATCTCAGATTTTAAATTTACGTAGGAAAGTAGTACTTGACAATGAAAAAACCACCTACTTTGTTTTTTTCATATCTCAGTCTTTTTATTGTACCCTGGAATGTTTGTCTCCTGTTGGTTTTACATATTTAAAAAAAAAAAAACCTAGAATATTCTGGAAAAAGGTTACTTTGGACTTGTTTATTTCTAATATTGAATAAAAATTAGAATTCTGTGTTACGCCAGAGTTACTTGGGTAACGTACAAATGGGAGTTCTTAATTCTAAATTAAAGTGACCCAAAAAGAATTAGATAAGGTAGGGAAAATAAGGTGTGGTAATGAAGTGGAGATGAAGTAGGCTGCTCTGTTGATGGTGTATTACAAGACTGTCTACAGAATAGATTTTAAGGATTGTTCTGATAGCATGTGAGCATATGCTCATTCTGGAATGAGATGTGGCTCAGAATCTAAATCGATGGTGGTGATGGCTTTATCTACAAGTTGCTGGCATAAGCTAGTTTATGATTAATACAGGGTATAATTTATTGACTATGGTACATGATAAAGCGTGATATACTAACTGAAAAAACAAATGCAGTACAGAAAATTGCAGTCATCTTGGATAATGGTTTAACACTGTCCGCTCTAGAGCCATTAAAAGTTTTTAAATCACTGAAGTATATGTTACTAGCATAAAGCACCTACTGTAATATAAACACATATTTCCCATTTGTAGCTTACTTACCTGCTTTTTCTGCTAAAGTGGTACATAAAGTAAATCACTTTATACTTCTAATAAGGTAACAGGGGGCACCCTTTAAAACTGACGCTTCAAATGTCGATTTCTTCTTTAAAGCCTGATTTTAAACACTGAATCATCAAATGTAAAGATTTCAAAAGATCTCCAAAATGACAAGCTGTTCTTCCTCTCCTTTATTTCAGGCTGCACAAAAGTTTATACAAAGTCTTCTCATTTAAAAGCTCACCTGAGGACTCATACTGGTATGTAATTTTCTTGTTAATTCTGTGAGTTGTGTAAATAGTGTAAGTGGTATTCATCCTTTTAAAAGCCAACACGTGTTTGATCTCTTCTTTCTTCTGTCAACCTTTATTTTTTAATGGCCGACCTTTTCAGCACTGGCTTGGCTCAAAATTCAGTTCAGCGAAAAAGTCTAGTTCCAGGAAGGCTGATGTTCCCTTACCAAGGCCTTGCCATGTCACCTCATGTAGAATGAATTACCCAAAAACGTTAAAACAACGATGTTTACTAATGGATTTTAATGGCACTGCTATTTCTGCCTTGAAGGAAAAAGAATGTAACTCATTTTCTTTCTTCCATAACAAATCAGTTGGCTTCTGTAAGGTATATTAAATGCTAAAATTTCCCATTTAGCATGTAAAGCATAACTGCCTAATACATTTATCTTTAATTTCACCTTTAACCTAAAATCTCTGTTTAGCATTTTCTCTGTGGTTGATGAAAGGAAGGGCCGAAATTGCAGACTATTAAAATCAGGCAAAGATGGGGTCATGGTTTAAAAGTTAATTCTGCACACTGTGCCAGCCCAGATTTGAGCTATTTAAGACTATCTTCATTCTAGTTTATATTTCGTCCTTGTTTAGAACGTGCTTTTATGTGGAGTCACTTTAATTTGACATATATTTATTTTGTCAAGTCTATACATTTCATTTTTGAATGCTTTTTAATTTTAAAAACTATATTTAGGACAAAACTACATGGCATGCTTTTAAAAAGCTTCCAAATACCCCAAATATTTTCAAATAACATAGATGGTTACTATCTGTGATTTTCCTAAAAGGCTGTCCCTGAAGGAAAGAACTTACATGAAATGATAGTGTTTTTTTTTCCTCAGTAAATTCAGCCTTACCTAAAGTTGAAAGAATAAGTTTGCTAATAAAAGCAATGACCTAGCAAAATGTTCATTGCTATGGAAACCAAAGTATTCAACAGTTCCTTTGAATGGGTTGTTGGATTAGTGTGAGGACTTGAATCTCCCCAGGCTAGATGTTACTATGGAAATTGAGTTTTGATAAATGAAGTAGTTATCTCTAACTGCTGCATTAAAAAGTAAAAGCCTTTGAACAAAGGTCAGTGCTGAGATAGAACACTAGGAGGAATATGGCTGCAGACATTTTGTATGCATGTAAGGAAGTAATGCTTGATATCTCAGTGATAATAACTCCTTATTAAAATCTAAATAGTATTGGCGTCAGTGGTAGATTCCAGGACTTTCTGAGAAATTGCTTTTAAAGAAAAGATACTCAGGTATTTATCAGTGAAATGAATGGGTTGTTTTGGCCTGAAGTTTTTAGCTATAAAGCGATTATATGAAAGGCATGATCCTACATAAGCAGCTCAAGTACAAATTATGTTTGTAGTTAAACAACCACTAAGTATATAATAAACTCAGTCTAAAGTTTTCAAAATGCAAATGATGGCCAAGAAAACATTCCATGTAGAAATACTAAAACAGCTGTTAATAGAATAAATAAATGTCTTCGGGAAGGAAATACTGAAAATGGGGTTTTACCTGAATTTTGAGTAATGGGAATAGAAATAAGTTTGAAACATTTGAACGATTATTTTTTTTCTTCTTTGAAAGCCCTTGAAATGGGAGATAGGAAGGAGGGGACATGTTTTTCATGAGGTTTAAAGTCTCCTAATAAAAAAGAGTGCAATTGCATATCACACTGTAATCAACTGCTTATTGCAGGGATATATCTGAGTGGCCTTGAAAACCTCTGTCAGGGGTTAGTGCTCTCAATACTTACTGGCTGAGATTCTGGAACTTGACCTGCTGGCAAAGAAATTTAATAGTGGGCTGTCTTAACAGTGATCGTACTAATAAAATCACACTAAAAAGAGGACCCAGGCCTAGTTTGGGTCCCATGCATCAACTTTCTCACCTGATCATACGTGTGGCCATCAGCATCTAACGAATGAGACCATGTAATCCAGTTTAATAAAGTTTTGTTTGATACAGTCTCAAATGCCTTGAGGGGGAGGGTTTGTAGCAGACCTGTTCATCTGGCTAAACCCGTTCTTGGGTAATCATAGAGCATTGAGGTGGTTTTCTCCTCATTTCTAGTTTCTAGACAATGTCTTTTAAAATTATCTGTGCACTCTCATTGCATCCTCCCTGACTGTTGTTTTTTAATGAATGTATCTGAAGTGAGAATATCTTTGTTTTTCCCTCTTTTCTCCCTTTAAAACCCAGTATTTCTAAACAGCTTCACTTATTTAATAGCTGTTTAGTTTTGAATACATGTTCCCTACTGTGCCCTCCATCCTGCTCCCACCCTGGACAGTTTATTAGGAGATTTTAAAAACTATATGGGGATCTTGAATTTGATACACAAAATTGCTTTTTAAGGGATTGCCATTTTGCAGGCAGAATGTGAAAAGCCACCCTAGCATTTCCATGGAATATAATTGTAATTGCTTTAAAATGTCAAGTTACCTTATGTTTTAAAAATGATTTAAGCAATTAAAACAAACTACATCTGAATTCTATTTAATTGCTTATTCTGGAGTTTTAGACAGTAAGTGCTTCTTGACTTGCAAATTGAACATAAGGGAATGGTCTTTCAAAACAAGACCTTTTTCAAAAAATTTAGGATGAATGTAGAAAATAACCAGTTTTCTTGAACCAGAAATCCCATAGCATCCTTCTAAGCATTTTTCTAAGTTTATACACTTGATTATGAATAAAAGAACATACAGGTAGTACAAAGTTCTGTCTTCAAATGGTCACACAAAACACCTGAAATGTACTTTTCCTGTATTTTAGGAAATGATTATATTTCACTTACATGTCCATATATTATAGGTCTGTAAAGGTACCCCTTGTATGGGTGTGTGGGTGTTTGTGTTAGTTGTAGTGCGTGTATATACATACCATGCCTCTGGTTAGAAATAATTATGGCTGCTTCTGGACAATAGTGTCAACTGGTATACTGTACTTTAAAAGCATGTAACTGTAAATGTTCTGCTGAAATTTGTGTATGCCTTTTTGATATATATAAGGGACTACACTCATTGCCATCATCTAAAAATGCTCCTGAGCACTTTCTTAACCAACTTAACCATGTTGCTCTTACAAATCAACTGAAGATTTAAAGTAATTCTAAGCACAGGCTTCAGGCCAAAAAAGGTAAAATACAATAGGGAAAGAAAGTTAAGGCTGTATATACAAAGAAAAATTTGCAAGAAATTGAAAATCTTTCTTATCTACGTTACTGGTTTCTTGGTGTGCCTGTGAAATACAGCTTTTACTTTGAGTTTGGAAATTTCTTTGAAAATGGTATTCATGGCTTAGTAAAAAGTACTTTCCAAAGAAAAAGTTCTGAAACTAGTGAACTCAGTCAGTACAGGTGTTTAAAATCTTAGTGCCTTTAGTCACATGAGTGGATATGTACTTAATCCTAAAGAATACCTGAAAGTGGTTGGGAAATTAGGGTAAGGAAACATTTTTAGACATTGAGCAGTCTCAGCTACCTGGAACGGGGCAGAAAATGAGCAGTTGTATATACATGGAAGTCTTTGAGCCGCACACACACTTTGCTCAAGTATCCCTTAGACCAAGACTGTTTGTACAGGCCCTTACGACTTGCCAAGGGCTGACAAGGAGAGGACAATTGGAAACACCCCCACCCCAAAAGAAAATGGAAACTACAATAACATAGGAATACAAAATGGATTCAGGGAGGCCCTACACTGTTAGTGCTGCATTTTACAGTGAGCTGTTCGGGATGCTTTATTGAATTAAGAAAAAAATGCACAGTACCTTTTGGAGAGATGTTTAGGCCAAGTCTTAAATTTTAAGGGGGTATATTCCCATATTCTGTTTCACTTATGTAGAACACTTTATTTCCTAATGACACATTAATATTTTACTATGCATACTTTAAAATGTACAATCTCTGCTTGAGATGATTTTAGTTTCAGTTCAGGTACTAAACTCCTTACATAAATTTCCTATCTAGTTCTTTATTCCATACTTACTTACTATCTATTTAATGTGTATTAGGTATAGATTTTGTGTCTAAAAATACTGACAGAGTTGACAGGAATTTTTCATTCATGGTACTTGGCCACTAAAACATTCAAAATGTTGAGAACAAGAGTTACTCCTTTTTTTTTTGTGGAATTGTGGAAGGAAGGAAAGTATTAAAACAAATTCACTTCCTTGAAAAATTACTTAGCATAAGTCTCTCTTCTCTCTAGATAAGTAGGTAGTTAGATGGCCATAATGGAGATCATACAGTTTGGATCTAGAGTCTGTCCATTGGTGTTTAACTTGGTAACCTGTGTTACTGGTAGAGGTGGAATGGGCAGGATGAAATTACTTAGTATCCAGTGGATTTTTTGAGTCTGTATTTGAAAACATGCAGGTAAAATTATCACATTTAGCTTATAATTTCAGATATTAAAATTCTTAAATTTTATTTGCAGCTTTGAAATTTATTCTCTATTGACAATTTAAAGCTCATATAAGAAAAGTAGTGGCTTACGAGACTTGCTACTTCAGACCCTTGGAAAAGGTATTTATGAGCATGAAAACTTAGAAACAATTCTTCTTAATGACTCACTGGGAAAATTAAACTTTGCTTCTAGGATTTGTTCTTTTAATCTGAAAAACATTTACATAGGAAATTGATAAAACATTGTCTTGAGATGATAAAGCTTAATCAGAGCTTAAAGATGTATAATTTGATTAAGCAAAAATTTTGTGGAGAATCCAAAGAATCTTTTTCTTCGTTTTGTTCTTACAAACTAGTGGGAGAAAGGTAGTTCATAAGCAGATAAAAATGGAATTGCTGAAGAAGGTCAAATAGAAATAAGCAGTTCTGAAGGTAGAGAGAATGTAATACACTTTTTTTTAATGTAATAATTTAATCACCCAAGATTGTTACTTTGACAGGTATTTTTAGTTCTATAGAATGTAGTAGCTGTTTACTTGATGACCTACATTTTTTTT